ATGACTTAGTTGTTGCATATTTCCAATCGAAGAAGATAAGAGGAGAAGAAAACTCACCATCTTGTAGTATGAGTAGATTGGAAACATAAGTGGTGTGAGGGAAGAGATTAAGAATTGGAGAAGAAAACCAAATCTACGGAAGAGAAGTTAGAAACTTAGAATCGATGATGCGTGGAAAAGGGATAGGTCTGGGCGGAGGAGAAAGATACATGTAGGAGGGTAAATTTGGAATAATAATCCTATTTAGGGGATAAAATTAATCTAGTCCTATTTGAGAATTTGAACACTAACTTAGTCCTACGGAAGGCAAAAAACTCTTCTTTATAATACCAGCGGCAGGCTACTGTGGAGACGAGTGCGGCTGACCAGAAGTGAAAACCACGCTTCTCGAATAGGCGCCGACCAGAAAAACTATTCCAGGTGTTCTGCGATGGCTTTCCTGGTTTCCTTCAAGGTTATTGAGAACAACGGATTTTCTACGTTAGCCGCTATTGTGCGAGTGTAAGGGTAATTTTGTCACTTCCTCAAAAGTTAGTCCTATTTATGGTTTAAAAAGTCATGACTTCTATTTGAATACACGACACTTGTTTTAGTCTTGTAGTCTTTCTCCCTTTGCAATTTCGGAATGAGAAATGCTAGGTGTACACAAAATGTGTACACCATTGGCACACCATATAAAAGGCACCCTATTTTTACCATCTTTTACTCCAGTCTTCTCTCCCGTTTCTCTTCCATCTTCCGCTATCCCCTTCTGCCTCTTTTTTCGTTTCAGCCCCATTTTTCTTCTCTTCTTCATTTCAAAAGCTCTAGCTCTCTCCTTTCATGGAGGTCTAAATCATAATATAAAAACACCCCATTTCTTTTACTTTTTACTGGTTCTCGTTTGGGTTGTTTCTTTTTTCTTCCCTCATCTAACCCCTCAAAGCCCTAATGCGATTGAAACGCCATAATCGGTCCGGTGAAGATCAAGTGTACAGGTAGTGAAGGTCTGGTGACCGAATGCCTCATCCCTCTCTTCTATCTCTCTGGTCTGTACCCGTCCCATCCAGTATGTCCCCTTCTTCCTTATTTCGTTTTTCTTTCAATTTTTTTTACTTCATGTGTTATATTTGTAGTAATGTTGAATGTTTGATTATTTTGTGTCATTGAGATAAATTTGTGATGATTATTGTTGAAATTTTTATCCAAATATACCATGTTATCACTATGCCCATAACATGTTTGTTGAAATGATTCAATGAATTTTATGTTTATGTGATACTATGTTTGATGACTTTAAGATTTTGTTTTATACTTTTCCAATTCAAAATAGGTATAGTGGTGTTTTTTTTTAACTACTTTACTGTTTTATTGTTGTAAATTTGCTATTTGTATTTTGAAATTTAGTGTTAAACCTTAGCCAAATTTGGTTTTTATAGCAAAAGAGTTACAAATTGGCTCCTTTGTTGGATTTGATCAAGAAAGAGTTACAAATGGGCTCCTTTGAGGTTGAAGTTCAACTTGCGGGTTGTATCTAGAAAGTTACTCCATTGATATGATTAGGTTTGGAGTCTGGAGACATTATGTTCCCTGGACTTGCTAGTTTCTTTTGCTTTTAGGCATGCTCTCTTCTATTATCTTGTATTTTTTACACTAAACAGTTTTTGTTTTAAGAAAAGGGGGAACACACACATACTCATACCTGACTATTTGAGTAGTCCTCTTGGATTCTTTTGAAATATACCTTATTCCGAATGCATATGCAAATGCAAAAAAACATATAAAGTAGATATGGGTTCATGGCTCTGGAATATTGTTCACTGTTATGGTCTCCTTTATGTCACGATGTATAATATATAACAAGAGTATTAATATTCAAATATTAGTGGTTTTTAAGCATTAGGGCTATACTAGGTATTCTACGGCTTATTGACATTCCGGTCTTGTAATGTCCCGTGCATAAAACATTGTGCTATGAAGTATTTCTACAATTGGTATTGTACTCAGTATGAATGTGAATGTTTGTAGTTAGAAAAGGAACTCTCATTGCATTTTTGTGTGGTTTGAAGCTGGAGTGGGATTGCATATATTGTATTTGATGAAAGAACATTTTTTGGGTTGCACATACAATTATTTATATGTGGAATAAAATAGAAATATTGATGTTTGGTAAGCATAAGTGGAGGTCACCTTGTGGATTTATGAAGCCTGTCATTCTTCTCTTTGTTATTTCATTATGATAATATACCATTTTATATTACTTCATTATGGACTTGCACAGGAGTGTACTCCTTCCGGTAGGATTAATCTCTTCTCTAGTAGTGAAGAGTGAAACTTTTAAATCAGGTTATTAAGATGGGCAATAAAGACCTCAAATTCACATGGTCACGAGATGGAGGAGCCTATGTGTCACACGTTTGAAGAGCGTCAAAGTGGTGATCATGGAAATGACTTGCTAGTATACTCGGATAGTGTTGGGAGAATGTGGACAAGATTCACATGGTCTCAAGATTCATGCTCTTTATTATAGTTATGTACCCCCACATGTAATTAGATTTGTGAAGATTCAGATGACCAATATGGTGATAATGTATTTTACATATAATGTATTATAGCTCTGTCTAACAGACAATATTTATGTGTGCCAGACAATTCATGCTTGACTTTTTGGCATTGGAGTTTTGTCTGACAGACAATATTTGTCTGTGCCAGACATTTTGTGTCTGGGTTGGTAAAAGAGTTAGGTCGGACAGACAATATTTGTATGTATCAGACATTTCGTGTCTGGTCCTAGCAAAAGAGTTATGTGTAACAGACAATATTTGTGAATGCCAGACGTTTCGTATTTGGTTTTGGCAAAGGAGTTTTGTCTAATAAACAATATTTATCTGTCTGGCAGAAGCAATTGTCTGTTTGGACTCTGGCAGCATGAATTGTGTTTTGTGGCAGTGAATTATCATGTACTATATTTTGTGAATTGAACATTATTATCCCGTAGTAACGTAATGTTTGTGAATGATAACGGGTTGGATGCAAAGGTTAGTTTCTTATGAATTATCAACGTTAGTTTGCTTCGAATTATAGACAGACAATGCATATACGTACACAGACAATAAACATAACCAGACAGACTTAATGTGTCGAGCAAAACACCGACACTACATGTATGTTAAACGTAAAATAGTACACACACAGACAAAACGAAAGATTCACAGAGAGACAAAATATCCACATAAATAAGTGGTTAATTGTTAATGTAATGTTTGCTAAAAACAGAGAGTGTTGAAGTAGAAAAAACAGAGAGTGGTTAAACGTTTTGTCTTCTCTGTTTTTAGCTTCCAACATGTTCGAACCACAATTAGAAATAAAACCGATTTCTACAACACTCTACGCTTCTTCCTTCTTCAACCGCCAAAGCTGAATACCATAGTCAAGTCTTTTGTTGGACATGTTGCCATAGGCGCAAGCAGGAACCAATTAACTTTCGAGGAGTAGCTGCTCTGCAAAAACTAGGACCATCACGCCACATTCACCAGACCTGTAGACAGACAAAAATATCCCAGACAGACAATTAGAAGACTAACACAGACAATAAATGTAATGCACAATAATAATGAATTAATACGATTCTTTTAGCCTGAAGACTCTCCTTTATTCAAAATAAATTTCAATGTATGCTACTACACAATGCACACACTTGTCCGACCAACTCCATGTATGGACTAAAGTATCCAAAGAAAGAGGAAACATGTTCTAAAGTGGGAAACACAATAACACTTACTTCATGCACATTGTTTGATATGATACATGTTGCCCTGTCACCAAATTGGCCCTCCTGGCAAATGACAGACAATTCAATATGAACGACAGACATCTATGTATAACATCACAGAATTTATAAATTCCTTACAGACAAGTCAGAACAAATGACCGACAAGCAAATATGAATGACAGACATCTATTTATAACATAAAAAAATTATAAAGTTCTTACAGACAACTCAAAACAGATGACAGACAAACAAGGAAATATGAATGACAGACATCTATTTATAACATTGCATACATTTATAAACTCCTTACAGACAACTCAAACTAATACAGACAACTCAAAACAAATGACATACAAAGAAATATGAATGACAGACATCTGCTTAAAACATCACAGACATTTGTAAAGGTTTTACAGACAACTCAAAACAAATGACAGACAAAGAAATATGAATGACAGACATGTAGTTAAAACATCACAAACATTTATGAACTTTTTACAGAAAATTCAAAACAAATGACAGACATCTCACAACACACAAACAACATCTCAAACAACTCTTAAATGACAGAAATAAAATTAGGTCTTGTTTAATTAAATTAAATCAATTTTGCTAAGGTGAGTACTACACAAGGATGAAAATATTACCTTTCAACAAGATTTGTCAAACTAGTTCGCACCATAGCTTAAAACTTTAAACACTCACTAATTTGAATGGATCTTTACACTCCTCAAATATGAAATCAACTGATTTCCGGCTGTTCTCTTTGTTGTCCCTTGAAGTTGGAGCAGAGCAGCGCAAGCCCTTCGTCCACTTTGAGTGAAACTGAGGTCGCTTCTTGTCCGGCAGAGCAGATGGATGGGAAGGTTCAGTCCGGCAGAGCACTCTCGCCCTTCTTTCTCCCACGTAGCAGCGACGGACGTCTGGGGCTTCTTGTCCGGTTAGGAAGTCGAGGCTGAGGGATGGAAGTGTGGGTGCGGGAGTCTGGGGCGGTTCGAAGGTGGGGTGTGGGTGCGGGAGTCTGGGGCGGGATTTTGGATGGGTGGAAGACAAAAGGATGGGTAAAGATTTGGAAAGGAAGTGAGGTAAAAAAATGGGAGATATTTATATGGGGTGCCAAAGGTGTACACACTTCGTGTACACCTGGCCAATAGTTTAGTCATGTGTGTTGCAACTGTACTCTAGGCGGGAGCATTTAGGGAACAGACATCCCGTTTATATATATATAGAGATGTTAAACGCATAAGATTGAGAAGTCAAATTAGGAGACTGAAATTTTGCCGGAAGAAACCTGCATCCGGACCTGCGATGATGGATTTCGTATGTCGCCTGATGCATCCCCCCATATAATTTATATGTACAGATTGTATCACTTTTATTCGTCAAAGGGCAACTGCATTATGGTAGGTGTAAAATTGAAACCTAGGGTTCCCGAAGACATTAATGGGATTACCCTTGACCCGCAACCCGATTGGAGCTTTGATGCTCTGTTATTGGAGCTCAGTTCAATTGAAAGGAAGGTTGCTGCATCTCCAAAGTTTCCAGCATATACCAAGATATGTTCTCGGGAACATTATGATTCAAAGAGTGGTGCTCTGCGGCAGGGTTTTGTTATGAAGGCGCCAAGTGATTGTGAAGATGAGGTTTCTGAACAATCTGTCACTCCAGGCATGCAAATTACTTGTGATAACCTTTATTCAAGGGAACATTATGCTTCAAAGAGTGGTGCTCTGCGGCAGGGTTTTGTTATGAAGGCGCCAAGTGATTGTGAAGATGAGGTTTCTGAACAATCTGTCACTCCAGGCATGCAAATTAGTTGTGACAACCTTTATTCAAGTGATGGTCAAATTTCCGAAGATGAGGCATCTTTTGAAGTAGACCTGCATCCAATGGAAAGAGTTGGGTGGGTGGAAGGCGCTTTGTCTGCGCTAACTTGTGAGCATCGCCTTAACGTTATGGAAACTGTGAGAAACAGAATATCAGCATTTCAAACAGCTCTGTTGGATGAGCACCATATATTTTCATCTAAGCTTCAAATGGTTGCGAAGGATTATGAAGCAGTATCGAAAATGGATCGATCGCTTGACATGCAGTATCAGCGCAAAACTGCAGAAGCACTTGAAGATCACTTGATATCTGTACGAAGGGATCATGAACATAGATCCCAAATAGAAGAAAGGAGAATAAGATATGATACAGCCCTTGAATTGGCTGAAAGAACAGAGAAGGCTTTTAAGGAAGAGATATGGCTAGAAACAAATAGAACAGAGCAAGAGGTACAGCCTAAGGTAATAGAGGATGTTGGAAAGAAAAAGGAAAAAACAGCAGAACTGGAAGCTCAGAGAAAAGACGTTGAAGAGGCTGCAGAGGAGAATACCTCTGAGAATGTCAAGAATATTGCTACTGGCCATCACAAGGTCTCAGACCAGACAGCGGAGTTCGGACAAGATGTGCGTAATTCATCACAATCAGCAGGTTCAGCACACTTCCGGTCAGCTGAAATGACTAATCAAGAAATATGGAAGTCCCAACTTGAAAGCATGGGCAAAGGGATTTCCCAGTTTCAGCTACTAGTACCAGGACGTAGTATAAAAGCTGCAAAAAACGCATTGGATATAGAGAAGGAAAGATCTATGCTGTATATGGAATTAACTGTAAAGAACGAGGCGTTGGGGTTAGGCACTAAAATGGAATATAAAAGACACGAGATTGAAATCCGTAGAAGGATAAGAACCATATCAGGTTTGGAACAAAATGTTAGGGCCAAAGCGGACAATTTGATTAAGTTAATAGATTATTCACCATATCCTACCATAAGCATTGCAATCTTTGCAAAAGAGATTATCAACCGGTTTGTGGTTCTTGCGCTTGGAAATTCTAACAGTATTCTTTATAGCTATGGCCGTGTAATTGTTCTTGTTACATCTCAGGTTCCTCTTGCTATGGATATTATCCTTGCTGAATTGAACAAAAATTGCATCTACACAGTTCCAAAGCATTTAGTGTACTCTCAGTCAGACTTCTTGAACCAAAGAGCCTATTGTACAGCTATTGGATATCAAGTAGAAGAAGATGGGAAGATTGAAACTGATAGTAGTTACCTAAATCGGTTATGTGCCTACATGAAACTATACGGGGCTATTGTTCAGACTGAAGTTGAAGGGTTCCAGAACATGCATGGGCATCGAGAAGGTTGGGCATGGTTGGCTAGACTCTTAAATGCAGTCCCGGCAAACGTGTACACTGTTGCGGCCTTAAACGCTTTTCTTGAAGTTGCTGGTTTTGGGCTACACAGAAGATATAAGCATCATATTGAGAAGCTATTGAACATCCTCACTAGTAGAGACTTCTTGAAAGCTTTGGACGAAGGTCTTCAGTCACACATAGTGGTCACTGAGCTCCATAGTTATGTAGAGTCAAAGGGTCGACATCTAGCAGATCACCTACTTTCAAACACTGCTGTAATAAGTATAAACACTTGTGTTGCATAGAGTTGCTTCTAAGTTGTTACAGTTGAAGATTGAGGCTTTTGATAAAAATCTGAACTTCTTAGGACTTGTTTATGTTTTTAATCATTTGTGTATAACTGAGATTCAGACGTGTTCGTGTATGAATACACAACAGAAAATGTTGTAGTACCACTATTCTTTCAATAAGATACAAATAGTTTTGGATTAAAAAATTAAAAAAAATTAAAAAAAAAAACTGATTATAATTTTTCTTCCAAAAATACCCATCCTCACTTAATTAGAACAAGAAACATCCCAGAACCCTTGAACCGTATTAGCTTTCTTCCGTGACCACTTCTACTCAATGTTTCTTCTTTTCATTTCAAAAGAGTCTTCTAAATTACGTAAAATCTTTATCCTTTTTCCAACTTTTTGTACATGCATGTTCTTGTAGTTTATCTTTAATCCTCTGTTAATTATTTTTACTTAAACAAATTATTTACTAATGTTCACTAATCTTTGTCATTTGTGCAATTAAATATACTTTGCTTAAAAATATATCAATTAGTTTTAATTGGCATTATTATTAAGATATATTTCACTTTTTTTTAACTTTAATTACTTTAGTTGTAGGTGATAATGAATTTATTGTGTTAAGAGAAAAATATTTGAAGAGAATTGAAGTCATTCACCAAATAAGTCATGTAAGACACCACTCAACCAAATAAACTAATGCCACATTCCCTTAGTCTTAACCAAACACAAAAGGGTTCAAATTTTGTGCATTTCTATCAATCTAACATACCTAGTAATCTAAAATTCTCATAGGAATCTAACATTCTTTGAACCCAACGGGCCCTAATAGTATTGTAGGGCAAAAAAGTTTTATACTCCTTTGTAATACATTTATAATTTTTCAATACCACTTTAAATAAAATATTATATCTATAAAGACACTATATTTATTAGGAGTAGTTATTTTGGAAAATACTATATTTATAACAACACTATATTTTGGAGGAACTACTTCCATCATAAATAATATTTCGTACGTAATAATATATGATAGAGTAGTATTGGAGATATTTGGCTTAAATGGGATGTTTGGATCTGATTTTTAAAACTGTTTTTGCTCCTTTAGAAAGCAGAAGCAGAAGTTGGAGTGTTTGGGTGGAAGTGCAAAAGTACTTCTAGTGCCCTAATTTACCCCTAAAGTGTATAATATAAAAGAAGTATGATGAGGAAAAATTAGGATGATCGATAATAAACTTAAAGAGAAGCCGTATATTAGCATTATGCCCCGTTACCCTCACATCTTGGCTTCATCCCTACGACCGATGATGGCGGGAAATATGCATCTGGCGAGCGACACTTCGTCATCGAAAATAATATCAGTAGACAATGCTGGGAAATAACGTAAAGGTAGAACTGAAAATACTGGTCAAACAAAACCTTTTTCATGTTTGGAATCTACAGGAGAGAAGAAAAGATGAAAAGAAGATGAGGAGGCAGTTATAGTTTCCCCTTCGCCGCTCCTCTTTCTACATAAAGTTGCAAAAAATTGATAAAGGTTAAATATATAAACTAAAAGAAAAATTGAAAAGAATAATCTCACCTTTCACTGGTCTTCTCATAATAATCTCACATTTACATAATTCCCAAAATAATCCCACCTTTGCACCCCATCTTTTTCATTGGACCATGACCAGGTTGTTTACTCTTTCTTTGAAAATCATACAAATAATATCACCTTTCACTTTTTTATTATATCTTTATAAATGTGAGATTATTTATTTAAGATTTTCAAAGATATGTAAAAAAATCTGGTCAGGGTCCAATGGAAGAAGATGGGGTGCAAAGGTGGGATTATTTTGGGATTATGTAAAGGTGGGATTATTATGAGAAGACCAGTGAAATGTGAGATTATTCTTGTCAATTTTTCCTAAACTAAATGATTAAAAACAATTTAAGTTGATTAGATACCACAACCAATCTTTTAAATCCCTCCAAGAAATCGTCAATTCATTCTTGGCCAATGCTTGCCATTCCGATGCTTGCCATTTCATATCCATGGCCTCGTCGTCATTAGGAAAGGTCTCATTCAGTTCTCCAACAGGGATATAATTGGCGGTCGTTGTCTAGGAATATCCTAGATTGTGTTCCGGCGGCTGTTTTGGCTTGGTCCGACGGAGTTTTCTTCTAGTTTTTTGTTGGATTAATCTGGCGTTCGTTTTGGATTGGTTCGGCAGAGGTTTCTTGCCAGCTTTTGGTTTGAATTGATCTGGTGGAAGTGTGTTTTGTTTCTTTTGGCAACGACATGAATGTGCTGGATCGGAATTGCAGGGGTATTAGCAAAGTAGCCATGACTCAGGGGTTGACAGATTTGGTTCCGGCCCACGGCACGGGTGATGAACGGACGGGGAGAAATGAAGGGCTGAGCAAGGGATAATACAAAGCGGTAGTCCTTCCCCTCCTGAACCGCCGCATTGGATCGATCGAGATGCCAGGGTTTGGAAGATGATGTTTCAAGAAACCAGCCAGGAAAGAGTTTGGAGTATTTGTCAGTTATTTTATTTTTTATGGTCTTATTTTCGTGTTATGTTTGTTTACAGTGTTTCGTTTTTGTTGATGATTTTAGTTTTAGGTCTACAATAATGATTGTCAATTCCGCTAGATATTATGTCCTTAAAAGGATCTATATTGGTTAGCGATTCGTATTGCTCTTTCAAGGGTGGTCGTCTCAGAGTCTAGCCGTAGGGTTCATTATAATATTATATTGTGCTAGTTGGTTAGAGAGATAGGTGTTGTCAGGGTTGATCAATTGGAGTTTGTTGTAACAATCCGATTCCTAATGATTTTAATATAAGAGTTGGATTTGATGATAAAAAAACAATTTAAGTTGATTAGATAAATAGTGGACGTCAACCTTATTTGGGATGGAGGTAGTATTTGCATTTATGGGTTGAGAAAACCGAATCAAAACCTGGAACCGACTGTAGCTTAGATCAAAAAATGTGGTTGATCCAAATTTTCTTATTTTTGGATGGCCCGAATAAAATATCCAGACCAAACCTACAATTTATAATACAAGTCACTCCATATGAAATCAATATAACATATCATTACTCTTTAGAAATAATTCCTATATTACGTCAAGAATAAGCATGTTGAACTAAGAAAGCGATATAGTCAAAATGATATATAATCATCAATATAAGAGGAACTTTTAAAGAGCATATAAAGCGCCACATAATCCTGCCATGTCATTATATGTATTAATTATTTAGTTATTTTTATACCTTCTATTTTTATTAGCTAGATTCTATTTTTGATTACATATTGATATGGAAACAAAAATCTGTAAAAATCCACCTTAATTAATTTGGTAACTTTTTCAAAATCCATTACATATTTGATAAGTATTAAATTCTTTAATTTGAATCACAACAATTAATAACCAAATTTTAAGCACAGACTCACGGAGTAACAATCATTCAATTATTACATTCTATTAAAGAGATGAAATATTCATTTTTTGCCCACTTCACAAATAAATCAGCCAAATTGCTATTAATTTTGTCTTCACAGTAATTTGATAAAAATACAAATGTAATAATAGTGTCTCATTTCCTAAAATGTAATATTTTATTTTTCTAAACTCAATGTTGAGATAATGATAAAAATTCTCTTTTCGAAAGAGATAATGTTTAAAATTCTAAACCCCGGATTTGCAATTGTGTTAATACTTCGCATTTTGCTCCATCTTCATACAATTATTTCTTAATTATTAAAATAATGATAAAAATTATAACCACCATATAATTGAAATTAAAAAACGAAATTAAAACTATTAGATATTCTAATATAGAATCTTAAAAAGAATACTTCTGATCAAGTTGCTTACCTTATTTAATAAGGATGAAAATTGATATCATACATAAATACATACATGTATGTATATTTTCACAAGTAAATACGTTTAGGCCTAGCAAAAATAAATAAATATGTTTGGTTATTTATTTATTTTATAACTACAATTTAAATGTGCCTTCACTTTTGAAATACATTCCTAATCCAAATTAGAAAATCTTTCTATGATTACAAATTCCTACTTTTATTTTAATAGAACTTTTTTAATTGGATTTATTTCAGTTCCAGATTAAATCAGATCAAATCAAACTTTAATAATAATAATAATAATAATAATAATAAAATAGTAATAATAATAATAATAAGTCACATAAAATGTAAAACAAACATCTTAGAGGACGTGAGATTATGAATTCTATAAAATCGGGTTCAGAACAATTATATTTACTTGAGATGCTTATGTAGAAGATCAATTCAACAAGTTTTCGTATAATCTTTTCTTGGCTTCATAAATGGAATATATTTTACATATTTTTTCATTCAGCCCATTCAGCCAGGATTTAATCAATTTCAGTAAAATAAGTTAATTCGATCTCTCATAGTATTATCAAACAGACTATAAAGTATAAATTAGACTAAGTTTATTTTTCTTTTAAATCATATTACATATGATCCAGAAGAAATCAAATTTCAAATTAACTAAAATACATACTGCCCGTGCATCGCACAGGCTTGAAAGCTAGTACATAGATATAGGAGTGCCGTGTATTTTCATCGAGTCTAGCTAAGCTAACATCCTTTATTTACTTACTTGAAATTATATATGAATGGAATATTGGTTAAAAATGTTTAGATAATTAGATGTGCATGTATGCATTTACGTGATGTTATTACTAATTTATATTATAACTAGTTATTATTTAGTCAAAGTGTTTTATTAAAATTTTAGATTCAGAGGAAATATTTTTATCGTCCGATCAAATCTTATCTTGATATATAATCAGTCGAATCAAGAATAATATTATTTATTTATTTATTAATAAAATGGAATGTTAAGTACATATCCTCTAATCGTTAGTTACTGTATACTCCGTATATTTTAATAGTCACGTGCTTTTTGGCTGTTAAATTTTATACGTAGTATATGAAACTGAGTGATATACATGAATCTTTATTTGTAATTAAAATAAAAGATAAGTACTATTTTGGAAAAGGCCTTAAGTACTCTTGATCCGACACTCCTGAAATTCTGTTTTAGAGGAATTAGTGTTCTCCTATTTAGTGTACTATGTACACTCCTGAAATCTTTTTAGAGCACTATTACTCTTCTGTTAAGGTTTGAATCTCTTCGGTGATCTCGTCC